TTTTTAACCACTAAAAACTGTCACTCTTAGTTCATCGTGATCTCACAAAGTTCTGTTATGACCAATGAATCTCACACTGTGTAATTAATATATTATTAACATCGTTGTGTATACACTCTGTATGTTACAATGAAAGGATTTGATTGTGATCAGCACAGAACAAAAACTGGTGTGTGTCGCAGCCATTAGGTAAACCAGCATACATTCATGAGGATGATGAAATTTTTTTAACTTGAGTAAAGCCCCCAGACCCCCTGCTCGTGACTCCCCCTGCCACCCCCGTACACATTCAAAACTGAGGCGATTTCACTCCAGCGCTTCTCTTTCTTCTCACGGTTGTGATACGTTTTCGACACATTATACAGACTGTCGTGTTACTACAAAACATCAAGAAGGAGTTTCCTCCGTCTCCACTATCCAATGGAGCCGTACAGCATCTGTTTTGCGGTCGCGCATTGGCTATTGTGAAAGTACTGACGTAATCATACAGCTGTCATCATCCCGATTTCAATCCTAAATATCAAACATGTTTGATATGATCGGGGCGGCCCCGATTTGTGTGCGAGCAGATCGGGAGGTGCAAGATTCGATCGGTGAATGCCTCACATTACCAGATAATCCGCGCCGAACATCGGGACCGATCGAGGGGCTCGACAAGATTTTTGCTCCGATTCTCAGGAGGGGGAAATCGGGGCTAAATCGGGCTAAAAATCCTGTAGTGTGAGCCAGGCTTTAGGAGAAATCCTATACCCAGGTATTTTGAAAACAACTTGACTTTAGGCCTAAATTAAAGGGATAATTCACCCAAAAATGAAAATTATGTAATTAATTACTCACCCTCATGTCGTTCCAGACCCATAAGACCTTTGCTCATCTTCAGAAAAAAAATTAAGGCATTTTTTATGAATTCCGAGAGCTTTCTGAACCTGCATAGACAGCAATGGAACTGACTCGTTCAAGGCCTAGAAATGTAGCAAGGACATCATTAAAATAGTCCATGTGACATCAGTGGTTCAACCTTAATTTTATGAAGCTACGAGAATACTTTTTGTGTACAAAGAAAACAATTTCTTCTCTTCTGTGTCAGTTTTTGATTAGTCTCAGCCTCAGACGTCACACCTACAGACCGTTGGCTGAACGTCTGATGCATACGGCACACAAAAGTGGAAACACTTCAGGAGTTTAGAAGTCGTCATCGGATTGGTTGAATTATACAGGATTTCCTGGAGACGTGTGAGTTGCGTTCTTAAACGTTCCGCCTGGAAACAAAGATGCCGTGACGCCAAACCCCCTCACGAAAGAAGAAAACCGTCCTGTTTACAACTGTGACAATGAGTGCTTATCATGATCAACTAATCGCTGGATTTTCAAAAGTATGTGAAATATTTAAAGTTCGCGGCATAGAATCTTTAAAATACGCTCGAGAGTTTTACACACCGGTCTGCTATTGTGGCGACATTTCCATGCCCCGAAACGTGACGCTGAACGAAACAAACTGTGATTGGTTGTTTAACATGTTGGTCAAACGGCCTCATGGGCGGGCCTTGGCCAATGAAAGCCGCCATGGATTCCAGACCTTCAGCCGTTAGTCTGAAGGTCTGGCTACGCGAGACTAGTCTTTGACACACATTCATGACAGTCCAATGACGCATGCATGTGCATTCTTTTGCTTGCAAACAAGGCGCAGCACATACGTCAAAATGCCGGCTCCTGTGTCAGCAGCACAACATGCATGCATCGTGGTACTCTTGTGAATGCGCAGCGGACACTGACACGGAAGAAAAGAATGGTTGAATAAACATTATTTTTGTTTTCTTTGCACACAAATAGTATTTTTGTAGCTTCATAAAATACAGGTTGAACCACTGATGTCACATGGACTATTTTAACAATATAATTTAGGGTCAGAAAGCTTTCAAATTTCATCAAAAATATATCATAATTTGTGTTCTGAAGATGAACATAGGTCTTACGGATTTAGAACAACATGAGGGTGAGTAATTAATAACAGAATTTTCATTTTTGGGTGAACTATCCCTTTAAGTGCTTCTTTTTATAGTTTTGGCTAGACAATGACCAATTTGGCATAGCACAGTGATAGCTTTGCTTTCAGAAAGACTTGAGTATCTACGTAAGTGTAGAAGTCTTAGCAGAGGATGGTTTTGATTAATCAACCTCTGGGCTATGCTCTTTAACCACTCTGCTTAAACTCACCACAGATGGGTATTGAACCCACAGTCCCTGGCTGAGGAAGCCAGTACCTTATCCATTAGGCCACGGGGTTGTGGCTCATGTGCCCCCAATAATTCTCAGTCTCTCTCAGGTGGCCCAGTAACACCAATGATCTGGGCATATGAACAAGGGCACATTAGGGTCACCGTAATGGGGGAAAAAAAGAACAAAGTTTGGAGGATTCAGACAATGGTCAGACAATCAGTGATTTCAGTCCAAGGAAATAAGCAGAGGCCCTAGAAACTCCAGCGGTGCCCCTGATTATCATCACCATTGATATGTCCTGTCCTCTCTTTTAGGTATGCACCAGGCCAGGATGCTCTGTCCATGTCTTACATTATCTGCCTCTTCCTCTTTTGCTATGCCCTGCCTCTTGCCATCATCCTCCTCTCCTACATACTGATACTCATCACTGTACGAGGGTCACGGCAGGCAGTACAGCAACATGTGTCGCCACAGACCAAGACAACAAATGCCCATATCCTCATTGTGAAGGTAAGGTGCAAAGCATCATTGCTTAAAGGTGACCTATTATGCTCCTTTTTACAATATGTAAAATAAGTCTCTGATGTTTTAGTTCAAAATATCTCACAGATCATTTTTTTATAGCTTGTTAAAATTACCACTTTTAGGGTATGAGCCTAAATGCGACATTTTTGTGTATGTTCCTTTAAATGCAAATGAGCTGGTGCTCCCGGCCCCCTTTCAGAAGAGGGCGGAGCTTTAAGAGCTCAAGCTCCAGCAAACAAATAAACATTCTACTATTAGTACAAGCCTGTTAACTTTACAGCAAAACGTACTCAGTCATCTGATTGTACTGTGTTTAATAAATGCGTGTTTACGGGGAGCACATCACGCAATAAAAATAACGACATAGCTGGTCTCATGGTGCCTTCACATGCTATCACAAACTTTATAAGTCCCATTTGTGATTATGAGCTCGACAAATTCAAGCGGTCGACTTCACATTGCTTTCATATGCAATTTTTAACTACCACATTCATATTTACAATCATTCTGGTAGCATGTGAAAACAGGCAGAGATAATGGTAGCTTTAGCAACATTAACCTTACAGAGTACCAAGGCTCTTTCAGAAAGCAATTTGAAAAACAAATGCATGATACTTACTGTCTGGAGCTGACGTTCGCACATGAAGTGTTGATATTGATCCCTAAACATACAGGGGAATTTACTGATTTTTTCTGGGATATTTCCTTCGGTCCATGTCTTACATTATCTGCCTCTTCCTCTTTTGCTATGCCCTGCCTCTTGCCATCATCCTCCTCTCCTACATACTGATACTCATCACTGTACGAGGGTCACGGCAGGCAGTACAGCAACATGTGTCGCCACAGACCAAGACAACAAATGCCCATATCCTCATTGTGAAGGTAAGGTGCAAAGCATCATTGCTTAAAGGTGACCTATTATGCTCCTTTTTACAATATGTAAAATAAGTCTCTGATGTTTTAGTTCAAAATATCTCACAGATCATTTTTTTATAGCTTGTTAAAATTACCACTTTTAGGGTATGAGCCTAAATGCGACATTTTTGTGTATGTTCCTTTAAATGCAAATGAGCTGGTGCTCCCGGCCCCCTTTCAGAAGAGGGCGGAGCTTTAAGAGCTCAAGCTCCAGCAAACAAATAAACATTCTACTATTAGTACAAGCCTGTTAACTTTACAGCAAAACGTACTCAGTCATCTGATTGTACTGTGTTTAATAAATGCGTGTTTACGGGGAGCACATCACGCAATAAAAATAACGACATAGCTGGTCTCATGGTGCCTTCACATGCTATCACAAACTTTATAAGTCCCATTTGTGATTATGAGCTCGACAAATTCAAGCGGTCGACTTCACATTGCTTTCATATGCAATTTTTAACTACCACATTCATATTTACAATCATTCTGGTAGCATGTGAAGGCAGCACCAATGAAAACAGGCAGAGATAATGGTAGCTTTAGCAACATTAACCTTACAGAGTACCAAGGCTCTTTCAGAAAGCAATTTGAAAAACAAATGCATGATACTTACTGTCTGGAGCTGACGTTCGCACATGAAGTGTTGATATTGATCCCTAAACATACAGGGGAATTTACTGAATTTTTCTGGGATATTTCCTTCGAAAATTTAATTTAACCACAGTGTCCTCAGAAGCTCAGATATAGGGAGTCTATGGAGACTGCTATGTTTGTTGGTGAATCCCAAAACACAACACTTGTAATGCCTCTTTAGCACTGACATTGTATATCTCCAGCAACTAATGTTACAGCAAGAAAACAGTAATGGCGGACTGCTGCTTCACACTCAGGGATGTGTCTATGCTAATATGGCAGAAAGCATCACAAACGAGCGGGACTTTTTCCTTAAGGTGACGTGTACATAGGGAGAAATCTGGAACTGCTCATTTGGAGAGACTGTTTATGATTTATTGGTATTATAAAAATAAAAAAAAAATGAGTGGGTGGATTTTTAACATTATAGGCTGATTGTTTTCACACACTGCAGCCACACAACTGTGTTCAAACACCTTATAAAAGTGATTTTTGCATAATAGGTCCCCTTTAAGGGACCGGGTGCAATGACATGAAGTCATTATACAATGACTCATATAAAATAAATGTTTTCAGACTGGGCTCCAGGAAACAATGGCTAATGATATCAATTACTGTTACTTGTCTGACATTGTAGAGAGCGATTTATTCTGGATATATACTCGTCCTCTTATTTTTTGCAATCAGTTTCTAATTCAAACATATATGGCTAATTAAATCCAATATTGTAGAGCATTAACAGAGTGAAAGTGGAATATGTAGTCCAAGCTTTTATAAATGAGTGCAGGACGGGACTAATTTGCATATTAATGGATCTGTATATATACTAAATGAGGAAAGGATGTGGAGTTATTTTCAAGCCATTTTAAGGAAGAAGACTTTATTTTCACATCATTTTGATTATTTGCGTTAAGGGATACAATTAATGAATGCAGGGGGATTTAATTTCTAGCGTTTCAAAGTACAACAGTGCTTTGCAACTGCAAATGAAGAATGAATCATTTACTTCTTTTCTCCAGAAAGTGTGGAAATATAGAGTTATTTCTGATTCTTTCATAGCTCTCAGTGGCAGTGTGCATCGGTTTCCTGACCGCCTGGAGCCCTTATGCTGTTGTGGCAATGTGGGCCGCATTTGTGGAACCCAGTAAGGTTCCCCCTATAGCCTTTGCATTAGCAGCTACCTTTGCCAAATCCTCCACCATCTACAACCCTGTGGTGTACCTGGTATTCAAGCCCAACTTTCGCAAATCTCTGAGCAGGGACACCGCTCAGATTCGAAAACGAATATGTTCCAGCCCGTGCAAAGGAAGCCCTGTGCCTGGTGAGAAGGATCTTCAACGGCAAACATCTCTATGCTGCAACAAGGATGCTAGCAATACCACTCGAATCTCCAATGGCCTGGCGGATAGCCATGGCGCTTGTCTTCATTGCACAGAGGCGGACCCTCATTGCCAACAGACCCCGCCTCAAAGGACTGCCTGTGTGCTGATCGGTACATCCTACAGCGAGGTGACTGTGAGTCAGCTGCCGGAGAAGATGCAAGCTGACTTTCTGTGAAGGCCCTATAGGCTCTCCTCATGCCAGCACGAGGACAAATGTGAGGAATAGATGGATGGGCAGCCTTAAAATTAAACTTCTGGCCACTAGAGATAAGCTTGATGTGTCAGAGACAAACTGTGGTCACTTCTGATACTGATGTCATGTATTAGGAGCTGCAAAACAATTGACCCTGCACTAAGTCCCGCCTTAAAAAGGTTACTGACCAGTCTTACCACAGCAACTGTTCACAGTTGTTTCAGACTAGCTTGTGCTATTTTACTTAAAGTCTATACTTAGAGATTTGTGATTCAATCAACTGTGAAAAATAACAAAAGATGAGTTATATGAGGTAAGCAGCTGCAAAACATTTGGGGATTTTTTTAACTTCAGTAGTTAGTTGCACCAAGTAGTTTTTGAGGTAGAGTGGTTGTTCGCTATTATTTTAAGTTAAATCAAGCTTCCTAAGCAAAAACGTCTGACACAACATTAAGAATTTATTGAACGTTGATTGTTTGGTTGAATAAACTATCAATATAACTTAAAATTTTTATAACATGCCTTTTCTAAATGTGTGTTATTGATGTTACTGTGAACAATTCATCCTTGCATATGTTTAATTTTTTCAATAGTTTTTTTACATTGTAATTTGTAGTTAAATGGTCTCAATTAATTAATAAAACTATGCTGGACTTCACCAGTCATTTTGTAATCACTTAAACCCCGACCCTTTCTTACAATCAAAGTCTTACATTCATATCTTCCTCCGTCTAGACAGAATACTCAAATGTATGTCACAATACAGAAAAAAAATCTGTCTGTGACTTTAGGAAAAAAAGTTTCTACAACTGTCTAGCCCTGAAAGTTAATAAACTTAAAATTGCTTAGCTGTTGATAATATAGATAAATTCAAAGAAATGGGCAAATCTAACCAAAAGTAACACTAATCACACTAATGGTGACTTAAACATTAAAACATCAAAAACACATATATCGTCAACATTTAATTCTAAATAACAATTAATGTACACATCTTTGTAATTCCCCATGTTTTGATCAAATAAGGGATTATGGGTATTCCTCCAACCACAACGCTTCTTTAGAGGGCATACTCAGTAATGCAGCTATGTGAGGTTCAAATTGTTTAACATTTATAGCTTTACATAAGCAAAATTCAAAACAATTCACAACTTTAATTTTCACTTTATAATTGTTTGTATAATAACCTAAAGGAAAATATTAAATACATTCCATACAATATATGAAAACAATAATACACAAATCAAGTGAAGCTGTGATTAAGTCATTACTGGCAATTATAAGCAGGGTAGAACGAGTGATCAAACTTGACATTATAATTTATCACTATTTAAAATGACCTAAAATTAAATATTTACTTTGTATATTAATGTCAGCTTTTTATATTAGATAGTTTAGATTGTATCTAACAAATTGGAAACTTTGAAAACATCTGGATTTTTAAAAAAGTGTTTCTACAGAACGTTCCATTAGGATTGTCTGAGCCAAGGAGTCAGTGTCGGGCTGGTCGCTTAACATGATTCCGTTAGCTCCTGCTGGTAGATTAACCATACCATCTGGGCATTGTAGTGGTTACTACAAGTTATCCGAAATCCCATAAATCCTTCAGACTGGTCAGCTGACAAAATTTCTGAATCTTTGATTGTTTTAACTGTCAAGGTGAAATTCCTTATCTGATGCCCCAAAATAAAAGAAGAAAGGAGTCATCTGACACTCTCACATCTGACGAAAAAAGAAATCACTTCTTAAAAGAAATAGTTCACCCCAAAATGAAAAGTTTGTCATAATTTACTCACCCTCATATCGTATGAGTTTCTTTCTTATGTTGAATATAAAAGAAGATAGCTTGACAAATGCTGGTAATCAAACAGTACTTCTTTCCCTACTATGTAAGTCAATGGGGACCAACAACAATTTAAAATTCTTTAAAATATCTTCTTTTGTGTTCAACATAATAAAATAAACTTTTATATGACATGAGGGTGAGTAAATGATGAAAGGATTTTCATTTTGGGGTGAACTATTCTTTTAAGTTGGTGCCACATGTGAGAACCACTACAACAGCATGTATTACGGGCAAAATCTATGTATTCTGACCAAATTTGTTTTTGCAAGCAATATTAGAAATATTTCATTATATTATAGTTGATGTTTGACCAGTGCCTTTTTTTTTTATTGAATAGCTAAAAATAGACTTTTGAAATGACTTTTTTTTTTGGCCTGATCTGTTGCTTTTGATGTTAAAAGATGATGTCAGCTTAAAACATTTGGGATTGTGCACGTTCTTGTGATCAGTCAATCATTGTGAACATGGCGTCATCTTCCTGCTGCTCTAGAGCTGTTTGTCACATGGCTTCTATGGCTAAAGTGATTAAAAATCCTGTTTCAACAACTGAGTTCCTATGAGCAATATTGGCTGGTTTTAAATCACATACAGTACTTGTGCTAGCTAAGCAATTGTCATTGAGATAAATGGAAAAGCTTAATGGATAGCTTTTACCTCCTTGGTCTGAGAAAGCAACAGTAACCAAGGGGCGGAGCTTAGCAAAGGGTCAATTCAGGATGCCAAGTAGTTTCTAAGGTTCACAAGAATTTTCTCAGAGGTGTACACGAACTGGAAAATCTGCCCAACAACTCCATTTTACTATCCACTGAAAACCCACATAGGTCGTAAAAAATGTTTGTGTGAAAATCTCTCATAGTGGTGAACCATGACTTTGCCAGCATCACCAACATAAGAAACAGTGGCTGACTCTGTTTAACTAATAGCACAGCTGTTGGCTGATCAAATCGTGTGATATTGGAGGAAGGTAATTCATCTTTCAATGAAGTAGTGACAAAGAAGAAGAGAATCTTGTTTGCCATTACTTAATGTTCCACCAACTTCTCTATGGAGAGAGAGAGAAAGAATAAAAGAAAGACAAGGGTCAGGTAAAGGAGTAAGCCTTGGCGAGGACATGAGTTTCGTGTCTTGCTCAAGAGCACAACATCTGACATCTATGTCAGCAGACCGTCTGTATGCTGTACTGACATTAACATCCTCATAAAATGGTCTTTGTGTTCCACAAACCTATCTGTGAGTTCCACAATGCACTGTATTTTATATATACTCTATGTATATTGTTGTTAAACACCACTAACAGTTATGCAAAGAAATCATTTACAGCTTGCATGCAATATTATCAGCTGCAATTAAAAAAATAATTTGATCATTACATGAACTAAAATACATTTCTGGATATGGGAATATGATATCATATGACATTCTGTAACAATGCAGCATTTATTGCTATTTTCATCAGTGAGCCAAGATAGACTACAACAAGACTCCATTAGCTGACTGATTTCAGTCTGCCATTCCTTTTGAAACAAGTTCAATAAATCAGAGATGATCAATAGAATGTTTTTTATCATAAATATTTCCATTTCATTTGATCATCTTTTTATTTGATCAGAAAATATTATATTTGATTATTACTCACTTTCCATAAAACCCATAGAGTGTCCTTAGAGCATATGGTTATAAATTATAGTTAAGTTAAAATATAAACAAATATCTTAAAAAAAAAGAAAGAAAAAAAAACATTTCTACATCTGTCAAACTGAGGAGGTTTATGTTAAAATATATGGATTTTCAGTTTATTCATAATCAAAGTTGGATGCTTAATTTGAAAATTATTTGAAATTTGTAATGAATATTTACCACAATATTTGTTATACTGTATATCTGATAGTGTTAAATGAAAAACATTTATTGAGAAAATGAAAGAAGCAGAAGGTTTGCACTAAAAGGTAAGATAAGCAAAGTCCCATACTTGGTTTATCTCTTATTAATGCCAACACAATAAGGTGACAATCATATGATAAACCATTCTTCCCTAAATCTTCCCTTAATCTTAATCTTCATTTTCATTGAACAAAATATAATTATTTATTTCTTTCATTTGATTGAAACACGACATGGAAATTTTCTTGACCGATTTGGTGAGATTTTTCACCCATGTGATTCCCTCAAGCTGGAGGGTATCTGGGAAAATGAGAGTGACCTTGCCAAGAATCCAAAATGACTGCTTGTTTATTTGAGTATAGACTAATCCTTAGCCTGAGCTCCGGTTTAAAACAGCTACGGCCTGCGGGAACTGTGAAAATCCTCCTTTAGCAGTTGCACTGAATTTCGCCCCTTGATTTAAAACCTGTATTTTTTCAGACTGTGAGCTTTCACTTCTGACTAATGTCACTATGTGGAGTCATCTTTACTCAGAGGGCAGATTTACAAAAGGCTAAGCTTATCCCTAAACCCAGCCTCAACCCATCACTTACTTCATCTGGATTGCTAATCTGCTCCCCAAATCACCCCAGAATGACATTTACCTCTCACAGTGTTGATCAGCGGTTCCTGGGACAAGCATAGTGTATTTCTCACCTGTACATGTGCTGGTGTACAGGTGAGAAATACACTATGCATGTCCCAGGAACACTTACCAAATGCAGAGTGGGGAGTTCACTAGATGCACAGAGACTAAATGCCAGCTAAATTAAGCAGTCAATATAATCATTACTGTTTGCAGATGTATGTCAAGATAATCATAGGAGGGGAAAAAACAAAAATGTGCCATGGTTTAGCTTACCTGTGTCCTGATATGTCTTTCTGTTAAAGGTACAGTCACCCAAAAATATGAGTTTTGTCATCATTAACTCACTCTCATGTCATTCCAACCCTGTTTGAACCTGTTGAGCCTGTTGAAACACACACACACACACACACACAAATGCAATGAAAGTAACTCCAAAAATGATATTATGCAATGAAAATGTTCTGTTGCACTGCAACGAGACTTATTGCGTGCGCTAATATGATGCTGCTGATTAAACACAAGAAAAACTGAAAGAAAGTCATACTTTGGATGAAAGTCAATGTTGGAAGAATGTTCATTTTGGGGTAAACTATTCCTTTCATTTCTGGTCACACTGACCATATATGTGACCCTGGAGCACAAAACTAGTCTTAAGTCGCTGGGGTATATTTGTAGCAATAGCCAAAAATACATTGTATGGGTCAAAATTATAGATTTTTCTTTTATGCCAAAAATCATTAAGACATTAAGTAAAGATCATGTTCCATGAAGATATTTTGTAAATTTCCTACTGTAAATATATCAAAGCTTAATTTTTGATTAGTAATATGCATTGCTAAGAACTTCATTTGGACAACTTTAAAGGCGATTTTCTCAATATTTAGATTCCCCTTCAGGAACTTGAGCTGCGTCGAAATGCTACGGGAATGCATCCAGCATGACCACGCTCTGAATCATATGTGTAATCAGTCCAATGGATGGGCGAGACATCACGGGCAGGGTTACGTAGCGACCAGGAAGCATAAAAGCACATGCGGTGAAACCAGTGTCAGCTTTCTGTCATTCAGCAAGCGCTCTGTGTGTGTATCAGTCTGAT